TCACTCTTGCTCAGGCTGGCCTGGAACTCTGAGAGCAATCCTCCTGCTTTGGCCTCCCAGAGTGCTAGGATTACAGGTGTGAGCCACTGTGCTGGCTTATATTAGGTTTAGCTTTGGGCTTCCTGGCAACCAAGGCAACACTTATATTAGGTTTAGCTTTGGGTTTCCTGGCATCCAAGGCAGTCAAAAGATTTTCTCTTGGTAGGCATGACATATATGGTTAAAATTGGAGGAGCATACGCTCAAGTTCCTATCTTAGCTCTGTTCTTAAGTATGATAGTTTTTTTTTTACCTTAAAGCTATCATGTACAGAGCCTACTTCCTCTTCTATAAAATGAGGATAGTGCTTCCAAAAAGTGGTATTTCTTTCAGTGTTTAAAGAGATACATAGTGGTGGGTCACACCTGTAATCCTAGCACTCTGGAAGGCTGAGGCAGGTAGATCACTCAAGGTCAGGAGTTCTAAATCAGCCTGAGCAAGAGCGAGACCCTGTCTCTACTAAAAATAGAAAGAAATAATGGCCACTAAAATATATAGAAAAATTAGCCAGGCATGGTGGCACATGCTGTAGTCCAGCTACTTGGGGCTAGGGATGTGTGAGGCCCAGGATTATGAGGTTTGTGAGGTAGGCTGACACCACGGCCTTTTAGCCTGGGCACAGATGAGTCTGTCTCAAAAAATAAAATAAAAATAAAAATATACATAGATCATTTGCATCAAAATCTTCTGGAGTGTATAGGTGTGGGTGTAGGTATGTGTAAGATTGTTGAAAATGCAGGTTTTTGGGCCCCATCCCACATCTACTAAATCTCAATCTCTGGAGGTGAGTCTCAGGATTGGCATGTGTTTAGGTTAGTTCTTCAGGTAATTCTGATATACACTAAAATTTAAGAATCACTGGACAAGGTGATTGTTAATGTTATTTTCAGCTCTAAGTTCAATGTCTCTAACTCAGTTTGTGTGTTACAATATCTATAATTATTGACCTTCAGGGCAGGTATAAAACTCAGTTTGGTTCATTCTCTCATTTTTCATTTGTTTGCTCATTCTTATTTATATAAGAAACCTTTATTAAGCACCTAGTATGTTAGGAACTATACTTGATGCTGGGGATATAGAAATGAATAAGACAGCCGGGCGTGGTGGCTCACGCCTGTAATCCTAGCACTTTGGGAGGCTGAGGCGGCGGATTGCTCAAGTCAGGAGTTCGAAACCAGCCTGAGCGAACCCCGTCTCTACAAAAATAGAAATAAATAATTGACCAAAAAATATGTATACAAAAAAATTATCCGGCATGGGTGGCGCATGCCTGTAGTCCAGCTACTCGGAGGCTTGAGGCAGTAGGATCGCTGGAGCCCCGGAGATTGAGGTTGCTGTGAGCCAGGCTGACGCCACGGCACTCACTCTAGCCTGGGCAACAAAGTGAGGCTCTGTCTCAAAAAAAAAAAAAAAAAAAAAAAAGAATAAGACATAATCCTATCTAGAAGTTTACAGTGTTAAAAGGAAAACAGATCTGTAAAACCAACTTTAGTATAGAGTATTTAAAAAATGTAGGTATCAACTACCTTTCAAGGAAGTACAGTGCTTGTGTAGGACAAAAAAAAACTACATAGAAGAAGATGCTGTGTCCCAAACTTCTGGCACAGTAGACTCCAAATATTTACTGAATTGAATTGGATAAGTTAGTGATTGTCTTAATTAAGCCTTAACTCAAGTGTTACTGTGCTGCTTAATAATAGGAACAGTATTTCCAATATGAATTGGATGGAAATGGGAAATAGGCTGTTTTTTACATCGAGTCTTCATATATAACTGAAGAGCTACATGTTTCTTAGAATGCCACCAAGCGCATATCATAAATACAATTGTATGATCCTTCATATGTTTGAAGATGATGTTTATTTGCTCAGCATAGGTAAATACATATAAACTTACATTCGTTCTGGATTTTGGAGGGAATAGCGGACAGGCTGGTCCTCTTAGACCTTTCAGAAGGAACTAAAGGAGGGACGATGGACCTTGACATTTTCAACCTGCCTAATGTGGAGATCAGCAAAGGTCTGGTTATTCTGCTTAGGTGTTTGCCTTATTTGCTCTTATTTTTGAATCCCAGAATTTTAATGCTGAAAAGCACTTTGAAGTCCAAGTCCCTCATTTTACATATTTGGAAACTAAGATTCAAATAAGTTAAATGACTTTCCCAAAGTCATATAGAGATTGCAACTGATTATATCAATGAGATTAAATAACATTCAGATTCATACATATGGGCCAGAAGAAGTTATTCTTTGTCTTTGATGTACACCTCAAGATAAATTTGTTTTCTCTGATTGCTTCCTTTCTCAGAATATATTGGTTAAAAGCACTGGTTTCAGAGTTCAAAAGATGGAATTTTGTATCTTAGTTCTGCCACATTATAGCTCTGACATTTGTCAGATTATATAATCTCTCAAAGTTCAGTTTTCTCATCTGTAAAATGAGAATAGTACCTACCTCTTGGTATATAGCAAAGTGCTAAGCCAAGATTAAGAAAAAATATTCACATTGATTTCACTAAAAATATATTATTAAAATAAGTTTTAATAAGAACAAAAAGGTTGTTATATCAATAAATAAAATTTGAAACGTCATTTTTCTATCTCAATTTTAATTAAAATTTACATATATTTAATAATATACATATTAGTAAACATATTTATGTAGGTAAATGCCATATTTTGGGACATAGGGTTGAAAATACTTTATCAGCTGGCTGGATATGGTGGCTCATGCCTATAATTCCAGCACTTTTGGAGGCCAAGGTAGGAGGATCACTTGAGGCCAGGAGTTCAAGACCAGCCTGGGCCACATGGTGAGACTAGCTGGATGTAGGGGTGCATGCCTGTAGTCTCAGTTACTTGGGAGGCTGAGGCAGGAGGATTGCTTGAGCCCAGGAGTCCAAAGCTGCAGTGACTTACGATCGGGCCACTGCACTCCAGCAGAGCAAGACCCCATCTAAAAATAAAAAATATTTTATGAGGGATGCATGATGCAAGAAAATAATAAAATGAGAGGCCATTGAACTAGAGTAAACATATTTTCTAAAGCCTTTCTACCAAGTTATAGGTAAGATCATTTATAATATGCTATACTTGTTTGGCTCTCCTTTGCCTCAGGTCCCCTGTATTCCTTGACCATATTTTCCAAATAATATATAAAGACATACAGTCTCACAAGCATGAATGTACTAAGGAACAGTGGCCAGAAAAGGTGAAATCATACCTGTCAGTTACACAAATTGGGTGTAATCGTTTTAGCAAGCCTCTGGATCCCTATAGGATATCATGAGTTCATTTTCCTTCTATGGAAAGAGTATCGTAGTTGCTTTAATAAACCTTTTGTAGGCTTCAAGTAGAGGATTCCTTGGGGAACTGGATATTCTCTTGTGCCTGTCATTTTCAGGTACTGAAGTTCTTAAGGGACCTCATAATTCTTCCAAATCACTTTAGGAGACTGTTTAGTACATGGACCCTAGAGGTTATGAGGCAATTTAGGACCTGAGGAAATTGTTTCTTCCTATGTGCCTCATTAACCATCAATAATTATTGCTTTAGATAACTGAAAGAATGGAAACCTTGGAATAGATGTATAGTGCATGGTGCTTGCCACCAAGTAGAGACACAGTAATAATCTGCTGAATGTTGAATGAGTGTATATTATCTTGGGGCAACTTTCATGTTTTCCTTATTTTTTTCAATTTTAATTTTTAAAACATTTTTATTTTAACCTCTTATTAATTTTGGTTGTACATTTCTGATAGCACTTAATTACTGTTAACTAACTTCTCATAAATATATTCTATGATATGGAGAAGTACATTAATAATTTTAGGAATTAAAGCTTATTTGGAAATTTTTGTAATGCCCCATCATGACATGCCTAGCTGATTGCAGCTGACTGATCATCCTAGAGTTGTACTTTGCCCCATTTGAATTTTCTTAAATAGCTACTATAATATTTTGGGTAGGGATATACATACATGCATATAAGCATGCAAATACAGACATATACATACGTGCATGCACAAATAGTTATGCTTGTGTATGAATAGACTGAATCTGGAAAAATACTAAAACAGTAGTTGCTTCAGGAGTCAGACTCGGGGAACTGGTTCTATACTTGTTTTGTACACACAATAGTGTGTGTATACATATATAAATTCCTTTTTTTTATTGTGCTTGAATACACATAGAATTTACCATTAGTGACTTAAGTTCTCATTCACAGTATACTGTGTATATTTAACACATTCACAGTGTTGTACAGCCATCACCACTATCTAATTTCCAGAACATTTCATTACTATGCTAATAAGTGGGGAAGTTCAGATTTGAACTAGGTCTCATTCTGAAACCCTCAATTCTAACCCTTTTACTATATTGTGCAATATATAGGATAGCGACAATATCTTGTTCACTTTTGATTTCTTAGGGCCTAACACAATTAATTACCTGTGACATGAACAGGACTTTAGTAGGGTTTTATTGAATTAATTATTAATGAATTAGAATTATCTGAGGGGTTGCATTCCTGGGAGCTATTTACTCTTATCTATTTAAATTAAATCTCTGATTGGGGGATAATCTGCACTTTTATCCTTAAGTACCCAGCCTAGCATTTAAGAACTGCTACAGGGGATTGATAGAAACAGAAGACTCTACTTGGTCAGAAGCAGCTTAAAATTTAGATGCAAACACACACACACAAGATGTGAACAATAATTCATGACCAGAGAGTAAGGAAGAAGTATATGATTAATTGCCAAGAGAATGGTTCAGACAGTGAAGACTCTTGGAGTTGAGTGGAGATAGAATACTTTTAGCCAAATAAGATTGAGATAGATGCTACATCTTTTGGGATTGTGGAAATTTGGACTGGCAGAAAGGTGGGGGAAATATACCAATTGTTAAGTGACTAGATCTTAGAGGTGGAAAGATGAGTAAGGCATAAACAATCCTGGCTTTCACAGAGCTCATAATGTTAGGTCCGGAGCTGAGAAAGAGACACACAAAGCCTCATGTGTAGCAAAATGCTGTTTATTTTGGGCATCTGGGTGCAGATTGGTGGAGGTCAAAAAGTGTCCACGAGAGAAAAGGGGAGAGCCTTGGGTTTTATATAGGGTTTTTCCGGGGGGAGTAAGTTAGTAGGCCAAAACAGCCATTTGTAATTAATTCTTTTTCAAGCAACCAGTTCCTAGGACTCCTGCCCAGTCACATCCATCCTTGAGCTCTGGCATAGTCCTTATCAGGGGAGGTAGGGAGGGATAAAGTGTCTCTATCAGGGAGGGAGGGTGAAAAGGAATGCCGGCTGCAGCTGTCTGTTAGACAAATTCTGGGGACTCTCCAGACTCCTGTGGCTGTTGTTTTACAAGCCTAAGTTTTGCATTAACCACATTCTGTACTATACATACTTTTCAGGTTCCCACCTGGAACAAACCTAACATATAGTATGTTTGATGTAGTGGACAGTTAAGCAGCTACTTATCAAACGTAGTAAGTGCAGTGAGAAACATTGAAGATGGAAAGACTTTGAGTAAGAGCCAGTATCAAGAAGATGAGAAAAATATCCTAGGGAATAAATATAGACCCATTCAGCTTGAGCCACAGGTTTATGTCGGAGAAGGTTAAGACATACTGGCTTCTAAACTCAAAGGGAGAGATTAAAAGGCTTGTGAGCTTGATAGGAATATCTTATGGAGTAAGGAGCCTTTCTTGTACTTTTGAAATCATATTAGACATCTACTACTCTGATTACTCCTAAGTGAAACTTGAGGGTGAGGAGGGCATTTCTATCATTCAAAGTAGAGGAAGCTAAAGGAGGAAAAGAAAAGAAAAATAAGCAAGATAGCTTGGGGGCCAAATTGTAGAGTTGTAAATTAAACTGTTTGCTGATATTTAATAATATGGACAGGCCACCTAACCTCTCCAGGTAACAGTTTCTCCATCTTTATGAAGGTGTAGGACTAAGTTCCTAAGTATGGCATAGTGTTTAATAGCACTCTGATGCCAGACTGCATGGGCTTAAATTCTGGCTTTTATGTTTACCAGCTCTATGACTTGGAGTAAGTTACTTAACTTCTCTGTGCCTCAGATTCCTTACCTGTAAAATGGGGATGATATTACTCCATTTTGTATTGTGGGTTAGATTAAATGAGTAAGTATATGGAAAGCACTTAGTAGAGTACCTGGCACATAGTTAGGGATATGAAAGTGTTAACTGTATCTCTTCCAGTTCTAATGTTTTCTAAGTCTTGAGGTTTTGACTTATCACCAGTTATTCACTTTGAACTCTGGAACACAGGAATTACTTAAAAGGACTCATGAAGAACCATAATTAAAATCCAGGACTCAGTTTGGGGATTTACTATCACCACCACTGTGTCATAATAGCAACCAAAATTGGATAATGGATTTCCCAGTGGACACATCGTACAAGTGTTTCCTTCTGAAACTTGTATAGAAAGATGGCCTTAGAGGCTTAATTAAGAATATAGGCCGGGCGCAGTAGCTCACACCTGTAATCCTAGCACTCTGGGAGGCCCCAGGCAGGAGGATCGTTTGAGCTCAGGAGTTCGAGACCAGCCTGAGCAAGAGCAAGACCCTGTCTCTACTACAGATAGAGAGAAATTAGCCAAAAAAATTAGCTGGGCACAGTGGCACATATCTGTAGTCCCAGCTACCCGGGAGGCTGAGGCAGGAGGATTGCTTGAGCCCAGGTGTTGGAGGTTGCTGTGAGCTAGGCAGATGCCATGACACTCTAGCCTATGCAAGAGAATGAGACTCTATCTCAAAAAAAAAAAAAAAAAAAGAATATAGACCCACAGACCTAGGCACAGTGGCACACACCTGTGGCTGAGTCCAGCCTGAGCAACACAGTGAGACTCTATCTCTTAACAACAACAGCAATAAAAAAAACAATATATATATATATATATGTATATATTTATCAAACATGTGGTAAGTGTAGTGAGAAACATTATAAATGGAAAGAATTCAAGCAAGAGCCAGTATCAAGAAAATACACACACACACACACACACACACCATGAAATCTACTCATTGTCTCCCTGGGGTGCTAATTCATTAATGTTGACTAGACTGATGCCATTCTAGTTAACTTTATTATGTTTCTTTTCTTTCCGATGCTGATAACATCTGGCTACTGTTTTGGCATGTACTTATTTACAATAAGTACTTACAGTAACATACTGTGAGGTGTAGAGAGTAATATAGTTGTAAATAGCGTACATGTGCTTGAGGATCAGAGGAGTAAATGCCAGAGACCAGGTTTTCCTAAGTCGTAACAGTTGCTTACCTGTAAGTCCCATTGAAAGAAGTTACCCAAGGACAGCTGGGCTTCAGCATAAGAAAAAGTCAGTTGAAAATGAGTCAACATATTTTTTTCACTTAGACATTTTCAAGCCAGATTTTTTCCTCTTTGGAATAGAACCCTTAATAAAACAGATTTTTTTAAAGCAGCACTACTCTGCTTGGAGAGTCCAAAGTGGCCTGGAGTTGTGCTTGCCAGCCTTCTTCCTACTCTTCCCACTCTTTCCAGATGGCCTCTGAGTCAATTTCAAGGACTCTAGGACCCTAAACTCACAGTTTAGAAATCAGTGGTATAATTGATTGTAGGTCCATTTTACCTATAGTGTATTTTTTCCTTTAGAAATTGTGAAGTACAGCTGGGCACAGTGGCTCATGCCTGTAATCCTGGCACTTTGGGAGGCTAAGGTGGGAAGATCACTTGAGACCAGGAGTTTAAGACCAGCCTGAACAACATAGAGAGACCCCTGTCTCTACAAAAAGTTTTTAAAAAAATTAGCCAGGCATGGTGGTGCTTGCCTATAGTCCCAGCTACTTACGAGGCTGAGGAAGGAGGATTGCTTGAGCCCTGGAGTTTCAGGTTGCAGTGAGCTGTGATGATGCCACTGTACTCTAGCCTAAGTGACAGGGCAAGACCCTGTCTCAAAAAAAAAAAAAAAAAAATGAACTACTTTAAAAAGCTCAATTTTTGTTTATAGGTTCTGGTTCTTGTAATTTATTTTATCTTTATTGCTATCTTTTCCCCTTAGGATACACTCTTGCTCTGAACTCTCTTTCTAAAGAGAGTTCTCAGCAATTTTTGTGTACTTTCATGCATATAGGATTGATCTGGGGGCAAGTATGCCTAAAAGCTCTCTACTTGTAGAAAAGAAAAACCTTTATATCATGAACTAGAACTTGATTAAAGCCTATATCTTGAGCTCAGACTGTTTCTTTTTATTCATTAGATTTGTCTGCCTCTGCTCATTCCAAGGTGGTGATCTTCACAGTCAACTCCTTGGGTAGTTCTCAGTCCTATCTTGATGTGGTACAGAGCAATGTGGATATGTTCAGAGCCCTTGTCCCAGTTCTGGGACATTATAGTCAACACAGTGTCCTGCTCGTTGCATCTCAACCAGGTAAAAGGCTTTATTTTAAATTAATTTGATGAGCTGGTGCATCAGTAGAATTGCCATTATTGATAAAAGCCATAAAACTTTAGATTATAAAGGGATGGCTAGAATATTCAGTAAAATTGCCTTTATAATGAACAATGTAGTATCTCCATATCTTCTCAACCAGTTACTTCTTATGACTGGCATTAACTAGAAGGTTACAACTTAAAATTTTTTATGAAATGTGATATTATATTCCAGGTCGTTAGCCATATCTTCCTCAGTGAGAAAATGTTTAAATCCCTAAGAGAAAAATGCAATGACTTATATGAAATATATTTTGTTAACTCTGAAGTATCATAAAATGTTAGTGAGCATGCCAGAGTACATTTTTAACATTTTGTAATTTGAAAATTGTTTTGGAACTGTTTTACTTTAAAAAGAAATATTTTCAAAGAGTTAGTCAGTACTGAACTCAAATTGGTCAACAGATTTTTTAAATGTTCTTAATATAGGGGTATGGTATGCGTTTCATTTGTTTTTTCTGTAGTAATTAGTTGAGGAATATTGATCTCTTTAATTCCTGAAATTCTTTTGGCATATAAGAAAAAAGTAGTTGTGTTTTCATTTATAATGCTATACTGCATAATAGTGGTATATGAATCAATATTTTAATTTAAAGGTAGAAATTTAGCTTAAGATAAATATAAAAGAGAACTTGATTGATGAAAAGAAATTATTTTTCTGGCCTTCTATACCCAGTTTGTATTCCACCCCTAACAATTTATATTTAACAAAGTTATATAAAATCTTGTTGAAGCCTGGTTAGTGTTTTTAATATACATTAAAAATATGTTATGCTTCAGTGCATTTAGGACCTAAGAAGAGTATATAGAAGCTCTAATATACTTTACTTATTATAAATATTTTGTGAGCTAGGCTAGAAATATATTTTTTTTCATTTTTTTTTATATCCTTGTTCTTCTTCTTTAGACATTTGTGGTACTCTATAGAAATATATTTTTTAATCTTTACATTTTCACCTTTTATGCAATATTTAGTGGAAATCATGACCTATGTGACATGGAAACTGAGTGCATTTCCCATAAATCAAGTGATTGGAATTGGCTGCAATCTGGATTCACAGAGATTACAATATATTATTACAAATGTTTTGAAGGCACAGACTTCAGGCAAAGAAGTATGGGTTATTGGTGAGCAGGGAGAAGACAAAGGTAAGAATTACATTTCTATTAGTTGTATTGATAACCTAAATGAACAGTGGCCATGGCATTCAGACGTATCTCAGGACACCAGAATTGTGGGCCCTGTTGGCATTTTTGCACATTTGAGTGCCTTCCATATAACGGGTCCCGGATTGTGAGTAGATTCTTCATGTGTATCATTTTCATTGCAATTATTTTTCTGTAAGTTTAAGATTAGACAAGACCCCTTAGTCAGGTTTAATTGAATTTCAGAGTCCAGGATTAATTTAAAGGTTTAATTTTCCAGAAAACTAACATTAAATTAAATCCTAAAACATATACAGAACTCTCTTCTTTACTCTCCCTACCTTTCAACCTTGCTTACCTAAGTTCAGACTTTCTCCCTAGATACATGCCTCCTGTCTCTCACCTATTTAAACAGAATTTTCACCCTTTGTTTCTCCTTATGACTTTTTTTTTATCAGCCACTTCTCTCCTCCTATCACAAAAAGCATTTGGTTCTCTGTATTAGAAAGTTCCTTTTCCTATTTCAAAAGAATGCTTTTCCTATTTCAAAAGAATATTTTCCCTATTTGACTTGAGAATCTCTTCTTTTATTGCTTTGTTTCTCCCTGCTATAAAGCCTGGTTGGTCAGGTGATAAAAGTGCTGTTTACTCTCATTTTATTCATTTTTGTTCATTTAAACAAGCATTAATATATGATCTGCAATAAAGATATAGGATATTATTTGATTAAGTGCCAAAGTGAGTATTATAGATTACAATATTGAGACACTTATGAGTGAGCATTTAACATGGGTTGAAATGACTAGAGAAAATTCTATAAAGGCCACCTTTGAATTGGAATTTGGAACAATGAATAGGATTTGAATAAATAGCTAAGAGTGGGAAAGATATTCCAGGAATAGGAAATCAGAAAAAGGGAAAGACACATAATTAAGTATGGCATGTTCATGGGATAAAAAAATACACACTAGTTGTTGCAAATGGTTTCAACCAGATAAGCTTTATTGAAATCACATTTTGGAGATCCCTTCAATACCTGATCAAAGAGTTGAAAAGTGATTCTCAGGTAGAGGGGAAACATGAGAATAATATGTTGAAAGAGTAATTTGGGAGAAATTAATCGCTATTTCATCATTTGAAGTACATTACTTTATTCAGTATGTAGGTGCTGTGAGGTAGAGCATGATATGGAAAATAACCTTTCTGCCTGTAATAGGGGTGATAATTTAATTGGAGAATTGGAGAAAGACCATGCACATTTAAAAGTTAAATAGATATCAAACCATACTGCCACAAAGCAAATAGTGTTCTCAAAACTATTTTCTTGGAATTTAAAGCTTTGTATATGCTTTGATAACATTAAAACAAACAAAATATTAATAGCGGTGAAGTTTGGATTACAGGTAGTTTTTAAAAATTTGTACTTTTTAGTATAAAATATGTAGTATTTATATAATTTTTAAGAAAATTATTTTAATAAAATACAGTAGTATTTTATTAAATACAGCAGTATTTTATTAAATACCCCTAGCTCTCTTCCCACATCTCACTTTCCAGAGGCAATTTCTAAAACCAATCCATGTTTAGCTTTTTTAGTGGTCCTTATCCTTTTTTTTAACGCTATGACATTTTAACAAGAGAAATCATACCATCAATGAAATAACAAGCAGTTAAACTCAAAAGAAATAAAATAGCTTTTGCAGAGAGAAAACACGGGCAAATGCCTGGCTGTGGCCAGCTGCTGTGAAAGTAGAATCAAATTAGTCTGTGACCCTGGATCCCTGAGACACCAGGGCTTCAACCCTCTTCTTTCCTGGGGGGCCTGATGACCCAGGGTCTCCCATGACACTCTTGGGCCTCTGTGGGCTGCACACAGAACAGCAAGCACAAAAGAGCCACTGGGGAGGGGCTGGGACTTAAACTCTGTATAAATCTGTATAAATTTGCCCTGGCACCAGGCGCAGTGGCTCACGCCTGTAATCCTCGCACTCTGGGAAGCTGAGGCCGGCAGTTTGCTCAAGGTCTGGAGTTCGAAAGCAGCCTGAGCAAGAGCGAGACCCCGTCTCTACTATAAATAGAAAGAAATTAATTGGCCAACTAATATATATAGAAAAAATTAGCCAGGCATGGTGGTGCATGCCTGTAGTCTCAGCTACTCAGGAGGCTGAGGCAGCAGGATTGCTTGAGCCCAGGAGTTTGAGGTTGCTGTGAGCTAGGCTGATGCCACAGCACACACTCTGGCCTAGACAATGAGACTCAAAAAACAAAACAAAAAAAACCAGTTTGTATTTGATTAAATGACCTTTTATCTCAAATGTAGGAATTTGTTTTCAGAAACATTGAGCATCTGCTTTGCTCAAGAAACACTGTGCTGATTGCTGTTGGAAAATATATAGATGTATAAGAACTTGATATAGGAAATGACTAGAAGGCAGTATTGACTTATTAAGGTCCATGAGAAGTAGAATAAAAGCACAGGGAAGAGATGTGGTAATTCTGTCTTGAGGTCTCAAATGGGAACTAAAGATAGAGAGATGCAGATACATGTGAACTGAGATCACTTTACTATTATGTAATATTTGACATAGATAATGTGTGTGCAAGTTTTAAAACATAGTAATTGGATAAATATTCATGAATCCATACTCAATCATGAACATTACCAATACCACTGAAGCTACCTATGTATTTTTCCCCAGTTCCATCTCCCTGTTTGCCATCTAGAGGTACCATCAGATTACTTTTTATCCTGTCTTTTACTCTTGCTGCAAAGACAAATTATATCCATGGATAGGTAGGTATACTTACTTACCTTGCCCCTGAAACCAGAAATGGATTATAAGCTCCCTCTGCTGGTTTCATTGTAGACACCAACTGGATATATTTTTTCATAAGTGATACCATCACAGTAATAGTAATTATAATTTTTTTTATTGAGTACCTACTATGTATATTAAATACTTTGCACATCTCATTTAAATTTTACGAACATGGTAGTTTTCCAAATTTATAAATACGGAAACTTAAGACTCAATGAAATTAAGTAATTTGCCCAAGGTTACCTATTTAATAAGGGCAAAACTAAGTTTTGCACATTAGTCTAATCTTAAATCTGTGCTCTTTCTTGCTGTCACTTAATTTATCTAAGGCATTTAGTACAGTGTCTGGCACAGAGTAAACATTCAGCAAATAGTAGCTGTTATTACAGTGATCAGATGATGGTGATGAATAGAAAATTGGCAGAAAGATGATTTTTTTTTTTTTTTTGAGACAAAGTCTCGCTTTCTTGCCTAGGCTAGAGTGAGTGCCGTGGTGTCAGCCTGGCTCACAGCAACCTCAAACTCCTGGGCTCAAGCGATCCTCCTGCCTCAGCCTCCCGAGTAGCTGGGACTACAGGCATGCGCCACCATGCCCGGCTGATTTTTATATTATATACATTAGTTGGGCAATTAATTTCTTTCTATTTTTATGGTAGAGACGGGGTCTCACTCAGGCTGGTTTTGAACTCCTGACCTTGAGCAATCCGCCCACCTCGGCCTCCCAGAGTGCTAGGATTACAGGCGTGAGCCACCGCGCCTGGCCTAGAAAGATGAATTTTAAAGCATAGTTTTACATCTAAAGCAACATTAGGACTTGGAAACAGTTATAAGAATAGCAGTTGTGTACATGAAATTATTTTCTTCAGGTATTTCTCCCTCCCTCCATAAATATATAAAAAATAGCAACACATAGCATATAAAACCTTTAGGATCTGTTTCCTGCTTCCCACTCCAGCTTCATCTTCTGCCATACTACCAGGCATTCTGTGCTAGTCAGATGGTTGACCTGCAGTTTCCTGAATGGTTTATGCACTCTTAGGCCTCCTTGCCTTAGCACCTGCTGCTTCCATTTCCTGAACATTCATTCAATTGGCTAACTGCTGCTTACTCTAAGGACCTGGCTTGAGTGCCTCCTTTCCTGGGAAGCCTTCCTTAATTCTCCAAGTTAAACAAATTTATCCATCTGTTGTAACCATTGTTACACTGTTATAATCACCTGTCTGCCCCCCCTCCCCCAGACAGTAAGCTCCTAGAGCTTGCAATGGCCACAGTAAATGTGTTTTGGCATGAACAAATGATCCTGACACCCTCTTGTTGTAACCAAGGATCATTCATTATGCCACACCAAATTAGATAGCAGAACATAGCTTTGGGATTGCTGTTTTCAGCTGTGATACTGTAATCATATATAAACTACAGGTAACCCCTTCAAGAAGTTTTTTAGAAATCCAAGGCTGGACCTCAGAACAGAGTGTTAGATCATCTGCTTTGGACATGGGGTGGGTGTTATATATAGTAGAAAAGAACTATTTTTTTTTTTGAGACAGAGTCTTGCTTTGTTGCCCAGGCTAGAGTGAATGCTGTGGCGTCAGCCTAGCTCACAGCAACCTCAAACTCCTGGGCTCAAGCAATCTTGCCTCAGCCTCCTGAGTAGCTGGGACTATAGGCATGTGCCACCATGCCCAGCTAATTTTTTCTATATATATTAGTTGGCCAATTAATTTCTTTGTATTTTTTATAGTAGAGACGGGGTCTCGCTCAGGCTGGTTTTGAACTCCTGACCTTGAGCAATCCGCCCGCCTTGGCCTCCCAGAGTGCTAGGATTACAGGCGTTAGCCACCGTGCCCAGCCGAAAAGAGCTATTAAATGGGATTTTTCATTGAAATTTTTGGGGCCAGAGGATTGCTGTTATTTATTGGAACCAAGGATCAAGATTGATTAGGTATAATATTAAAATGTCTAAAGTAAGATGGATATACATTTAGGAAGTTTGAAGGGCTAGGCAGTAAACAAAATGACATAATTAAGTCCATCTAAACTTTTTTGAAAATTTTATCCTAGTGTTTTGTTTTTGTTTTTTGTTTTTGAGACAGTCTCACTCTGTTGCCAGGGCTAGAGTGCCATGGCGTCAGCCTAGCTCACAGCAACCTCAAAATCCTTGGCTCAAGCAGTCCTTCTGCCTCAGCCTCTCCAGTAGCTGGGATTATAGGCATGTGCCACCATGCCCAGCTAATTTTTTCTATATATTTTAGTTGACCAATTAATTTATTTCTATTTTTAGTAGAGATGAGGTCTCTTGTTCAGGCTGGTTTTGAACTCCAGACCTTGAGCTATCCACCCACCTCGGCCTCCCAGTATCCTAGTGTTCTATAGTACTGTAGGATGACCATAATTAACAGTACTTTATTGTGTATTTTCAAGTAGCTGGAAGAGTGGATTTTGAATGTTTCTAATGCAAAGAAATGTGTTTGAGGTGATGGATATGCTAATTACCCTGATTTTATCATTACACAATGTATACATGTCATGTATCAGAATATCACACTGTACCCATATATACGTGCAATTACTATATGTCAATTAAAAATAATAAAAGTGCAAAAAGTTTTGAGGATTAAAATTGTAATGACTGTCACAAGCAAATTTGAATACAGTGAAGCTTTCTCTTTCTCTGAACATTCTTTTCTTATGGCTCTTTCTAAGTCAGAACTCAGAGGAAAGATAATGTGAGCTCTCTCTCTCTCCCTCTCTCCCATCCTCCCTCCCTCCCTCCCTCCCTCCCTCCATAAATATATAAAAAATAGCAATACTCATAATTTTCAGATTTTTTGGCATCCTTTGTCTTTTCTTATACAAACCTTGCTTTTATTCATCTTTCCAAGGTCTGTAAATGCTGTATTTTGGTAGCAGACATTCCCCCATTTTTTATTTATTGTGAATATACTAATAGCAGATTTTTAAAGAAAATAATCTATGTGCCACCCTTGTATCCATATAAAACATTTTAAAAATCCTCAATTTGTCCACATGTATTTATATTTTTCGTGTAACAGGTTTTTTTTGGTTTTTTTTTCTGAGACAGAGTCTCGCTTAATTGCCAGGCTAGAGTAGATGCCCTGGCGTCAGCCTCGCTCACAGCAAACTCAAACTCCTGGGCTCAAGCAATCTCCTGTCTCAGCCTCCCAGTAGCTTGTGGTTCTCAGGCATCGGCCACCATGGCCGCGGGCAATCTTTTTTTCTATATATATCAGATGGCCAATTAATTTCTTTCTATTTATAGTAGAGACGGGGGTCTCACTCTTGCTCAGGGTGGTTTCGAACTCCTGACCTTGAGCAATCCGCTCGCCTCTGCCTCCCAGAGTGCTAGGATTACAGGCGTGAGCCACCGCACCCGGCCCATGTAACAGTTTTTGATTTTGCTATTTTTTTACTTACATAAAAACTTTTAAAACTTTCCCATGTCTTTCAACTTAGTGCTGCAAGTATGTTTTCCTCTTTGTTACCAAATATAAATTGTGTGTGAGGTTAGTTCTGTATTATCTTCTGTGTACCCAATACTATGGTACAGAATATGTGCAAGAAGACACAAAAGAATACATGGTCCCTGCACCTTGGAAGCTAGTATTCAGTTTGGGGAGAGGAGGCATCTGGATACTTATGATATCTTTTGTTGCTGACACATCACTAAATGGCCTGACTTTGAATGTAGCATAGAATTCTTGTATCTTAAACATAAGATATTCTTATATAGCCAAATGTATTTTTGCTTTGCTACCCAAACACATAGACTTGTACCATGAGAAACATCAAGTGTGGTATAAATATCCAGTTTGTGCATACAGCTTTGAATTTTTTTTTTTTTATAAATGGTGTGGTGAGGGGAAATGGGTAACCCAGATGATGCTTTTAGAAAACAGGATCTTGCCTCTCTCACAGCTAGAAATTCTAGCCCAAAATAGGTGGCCAAATCATTCTTCACCTGAAATCAGTCTCAGTGCAGTTCCCAGCAGAACAAATGCCAAGTGCTTGCAGCATGTGGGAATCTATTACATGTGGTCTGGTAAGGAAAGGAAGCTTTCTATTTAAACAGTGAAATGGCCCTTATAGAACTGTTATTGATGGTAGAGAACATGTAAGGAGGCTGCAAGTAGACTTTAGGGATCATGTTTTTTGGGGAGTGTAGTTTGAAAGTCTTTTTCACCCCAGGCAATTGGTATAGCACATTTCAGGGTCTTCAGTGGAAAACTATAACTGTTGCTAGAAGGTACCTTTGACTGCTAAAGATCATTTATCACATCTTAATCCTAATAGAGTCATTTGAAAAATATAACTAATTCTTCATTTAATTTTTAGTGCCCACATGGGGTAGCCAAGAAGTAATGAGTCATAACTCTCAGGTGCAGCTATTCAACAGGTAACACTGAATGTAAATTTGCATTTATCCATCTAAAAATCATATATTTCATAGCTAACATAACAGCTGTATACACAGCAAATACTTACCAGGCTTCTGTAAACAAAACTAGCTATTATGGACAAATCTAAAATTATAAGGGAGCAGTGTTTTATATTCTTTGATTTCTTATCTGAAGGTAGATCTAAGAGTGCTTTGCGGACTTTTTCAGATAACACAGTTGACATTTAAAGGGTAGAACATGTTCCTTATTTGTAAACTTGATTTACTGCTCCTGCATCTAAACATCTAAGGATATTAACAGTTTTCTTAAAGTGGAAGAGAATTTGTCCATACCACTTAAAAATGAGTACGTATTAATCACACATAAATACATTTAGAAATCACTCTAATATGAATGGATAAGCCATATTATATGTTCAGGGGGAAAAATGTAATGAAGAGATCCTTGTATTATGCAGAGGCTTTCCAGGGAACTGTGCCGCATAGTTTGGACTCTACACATTATATATTTTCATGTCATTTGTTGTTTCACCCACCACATAATAACAGATCTTACTGAAGTCTGAGTGATGGTGAATTTTAGCTTTTTAAACCTTCAGCTTATGGTTTGTGAAATATAACAAGTAGAAGAAGAGTAGTGTATGGTATAATTCATTCTAAGGAAGAAATTTAAATATTTATATAATTATTTACAAAAATAACATGCTTATTAAAAAACTTCAAATACTGCAGATATCTATGAAGTAGAGAGTAAAAAATTGAGATAATTCCATCTTCTAGAGACAACCACTGTTAACAGTTTAGTGTCCACATGTATATTTCCAAAAATTTTTTTTCCTACTAGGGAGGCTGAGGCAGGAGGATTGCTTGAGCCCAGGAGTTTGAGGCCAGCCTGGGCAACATAGTAAAACACTGTCTCTTAAAAAAATTTCAATGTTTCTACAAATATATCATTATTTTTTATCATTTTTCAAATAGACTTATGCTATTTACACTATCTTATAACTGATTTGTTTCCTTAATGATAAATCTTAGATATCTTTCTATATTGTACCTGTTAATCTATCTTATTCTTAAGAGCTACATGGTACTACTTTTGGTAGTGATTTATTTAACCAGTCCTCTTTTGATGAGTAGTTTCCAAATATAGCAAACATGCTTATTATATTTATCTTTGCACACTTGAGCATATTGCTGTAGGATAAATTCCTAAAAGAGGAATTTCTAGAGGAGTTGTTGGTAAATCTTTTTCCTAAAAGATCATTTTATACTCTCAACAGCAGTTATAAGAATGCCTATTTATAGTTTCTCCAAGATTAGTTATCAGTCTTTTTAATCTTTGCTAATTTTTATAGGCAAAACTGGTATTTGTTTTAATTAATAGTTAAATATTAATGGCAGTGAGCATCTTTTTATGTTTATTAGGCCATTTGTATTTTCTCTCTGTGAACTTGCCTGACATCTTAAGAAAAGTTTAATCATTAGATTTTCTGTAGGCTTTCCTAACAATTGCTGTATAACTCTTATTTCTGTGTCATAAAAATATCTAATTAATACCTTAAACAGAATGTTAAATTAAATGTGCATATTTTGTGCATTTTCTAAGCTCATGTTTTTTTTGTTATCTAGAGCAATGGAACTGTTAAGGGTAAAAGGCCAAAGATCCTGGTCTGTTGGACTATCAGTAGCTGACCTGGTTGACAGTATTGTAAACAATAAAAAGAAAGTGCATTCTGTATCAATTTTAGCAAAGGTAATTGTTATTCTCTTATAAATACAAAACCAGCAAAATTGCTATTCACACTCTAACCCAGGTTTTTTCAGTGTCACCAGCTTTTAGAGTAACCTGGGAATAGGCTTTCTGGTCTAACCCCTACTGTTCTTGGCTATGGAAAATCTGAATTTCTACCTGGTTGCCTTCTCACCATCATGAGTTTTGGGAATCTCCAAATAGTGTTTATATAGCCATAAACTTCTTCTGATTGTCATTTATCACCTCAGCCAGCCAAGTCACCCTAGACTGATGTGCCAGAAAAACAAATACTGCATGTTCTCACTTATGTGGGAGCTTAAAAAATAAAGTTGATCTCATGGAGGTAGAGAGTAGAATGGTGGTTACCAGAGGCTGGGAAGGGGGCAGGGAGGATGAAGAGAGGTTGGTTAATGGATACAAAAATACAGTTAGATAGAAAGAATCAGTTCTAGTGTTCAATATCATAGTAGGGTGACTATAGTTATAAATAAGTTATTGTATGTTTCAGAATAGCTAGAAGAGACAATTTAGAATGTTCTCACACAAAGGAATGGTGTTTGAGGTGGTAATGTCCCAATTACCTTGATCTGATCATTATATATTATATGCATGTATCAAAATACCACATGTACCCCATAAATATGTACAGTTATTATGTATCAATTTAAGAAACATAGATTACTGTATTTGTGCCCAGAAACCACGCAATGCCCCTCCCCAGGAAATCTACTCTGACCATCTTTTTTCTTAGCTCCCAATCTGCTATCCATATTGCAGGCGGCTAGCTTACCTTCCCACCAAGGGAATAGCTTTGACCAAGTTCCTCTCATCTTTCAAAAATTTTCTTAAACAATAACTTCAGTTTATAAAAATAAATGGAGAAATTTTTTTTAAAATTCAACTTGTATTACTTTGTACTAGAACTTGAAAAGCAAGAAAATATGCATTTTTATATTAACTTCTTTGTAGTGATTTATCTCTATTATAATCCCTATTTTTCTCATTTCAGGGATATTATGATATAAATAATGAAGTGTTTCTAAGTTTGCCTTGCATCCTTGGAACCAATGGGGTATCCGAAGTCATCAAAACCACAGGGAAAGAAGATACAGTAACTGAGAAACTCCAAAACAGTGCATCCTCAATCCATGGTCTCCAACAGCAGTTAAAACTTTGATTCTCAAGTGCAGTTGCCTGAAAGGGAAGGTCATTTAATTTTGGCCACATATATAGGTTTGAGGACTTCGGTATCTTATAACTTATCCTTACAAACTGCTTGGTTAAAGTAGATGGTTTCTTGGTTAGCTTTGTGATTTCAGTCCTTAAGGAGTTACATAAGGAGGGCAAAATCTAATTTTCCTTGGTGTTCTTGAGATATCTGTACTGTTCTTTAAACCTACAGCAAGGTAAACATTCATCTGCAATGAGCATCAGATTACAATTAAATTGTATATCCTAACTAGCCAGGCATGGTGGTGCACGCCTGTAGTCCCAGGTACTTGGGAGGCTACGGCGGGAGGATCTCTTGAGCCCAGGAGTTGGTTACAGTGAGCTAGATGGCGCCACTACACTACAGCCTGGGTGCAACAGAGCAAGACCCTGTCTCTTAAAAAACAAACAAACAAACAAAAACTGTATATCCTAAACTAAAAGCACCTTCAGCAATTGGGAATATTTTGAAAGTAATACATCTTTAAAATAAAATTACTGTCTGACTTTTATAATAAACATGATAATCTCAAGGCCCAGTATGGATTTACAGAAGCTGTGTTAGGCATACACTCAAAGATCCAAGCTTTTAAAGTATTAATGTTTCTTTATGTATAACATAAACTTATACATAAGTTTATATAAACTTATACAAAAGTTATACATAATAAATATTATGTATAACTATAATGTAAAATATAGTTGATAGCAATGGTAAAGCATTTTATTTTCCTTCTTCAAATTCCTTAGCTACCAAAAAATGGAGAAAAATTTTACCTGCACTTTAAAATGGTAAGAGAAAGGAATTTTTACAGCGATTAGCCACAGCGCCCGGCCCAGACATCTCACTTTCCAGAGGCAATTCTAAAACCAATCCATGTTTCAAGCTTTTTATGGTCCTTATCCTTCTTTTTAACCCCTATACATTTTAACAAGAAAAATCATACCATCAATGAATAACAAGCGCAGTTAAACTCCAAAAGAAAAATAACAGCTTTGCACAGAAGAACACGGGCAAATGCCTGTGCCCACTGCGGTAAAGTAGAATCAAATATAAGTCTGTGACCGCTGGAGCCCTGAACCCGGCTTCAAACCCTCTTCTTCCTGGGCCTGTACCCAGGGTCTCCCATGTGAACTGCTTGGCTCTGTGCCGCACCAGAACTAGCAACCAAAAGACCCTGGGAGGCCTGGGACTTTAAACTCTGTATAATCTGTATATAATGCCCTGGCGCCAGCGCAAGTGCTCACCCCTGTATCCTCCACTCTGGAGCTGAGGCCGCCAGTTTCTCAGGTCCTGTTCAAAGCAGCCTGAGCAAGACGAGACCCATCTCTATATAATAAAGAAACTAATGTGGCCCAACTAATTATATATAGAAAAATTAGCTGCATGTGTGCAGCCTTGTAGTTCAGCTACTCAGAGGCTGAGGCACGCAGATGCTTGACCCAGGAGTTGGGTTGGCTGTAGCTAGGCTGCAATGCCACAGCACACACTCTTGGGCCTAGACAGAAGAACTCAAAAACAAAACAAAAAAAAACCGTTTTGTGTTGATAAATGACCTTTTATCTCAATGTTAGGAATTGTTTTCAGAAACACTTGAGCATCCTGCTTTGCTCAAACACTGTGCTGATTGCTTTGGAAAATATATAGATGTATAAGAATTATATAGATGACTAGAAGCTGCATTATTGACTTATTAAGGTCCTGAGAATAAAAAAAGCACAGGAAAGATGTGTAATTCTGTCTGAGTCTCAAATGGGAACTAAAGATAAAGATGCAGTAAAATGTGAACTGAGATTCACTTTACTATTAATTGTAAGATTTGACAAATAATGTGGTTGTGCAATTAAAACATAGTAATTGGGATAATATTCATGATCCATACTCATCATGGAAACATTACCCAATACCACTGAAGCTACCTATGTATTGTTCCCCAGTTCATCTCCCGTGTTGCCATCTAGAGTGTACCATCAGATTCTTGTTATCCTGGTCTTTTACTCTTCTGCAAAAGACAAAATTAATATCCATGGAGTAGGTCAGGTTATACCTTACTTATCCTTGCCCTGCATACCAGAAATGATAATAACCCCTCTGCTGGGTTCCATTGTAGAGCACCAACTGGATAGTATTTTTTCATAGTTGATACCATCACAGTAAGTACTATATTTTTTTATTGGAGTACCTACTATGTATATTAAATAGCTTTGCACATCTCATTTAAATTTTACGAACATCCTGTGAGGGGCAGATGCGTAGTTTTCCCAAATTTATAAATACGACTTAAAAAAGACTCAATGAAATTAAGTAATTTGCCAAGGTTACCTATTTAATAAGGGCAAAACTAGTTTTGGAACATTAGTCTAATCTAAATCTCGTGCTCTTTTCTGCTGTCACGTAATTTATCTCCTAAGCATTTAGCTTCAGTGCTGGGCACATAGCTAAACATTCAGCAAATAGTACGCTTTGATTACAGTGATCAGAGATGGTGAGAATAGAAAATGGCGAAAATGATTTTTTTTTTTTTTTTGAACAAACTCGCTTTCTTGGCCTAGGCTAGAAGTGAGTGCCGGTCGGTGTCAGCCTGGCTCACAGCAACCTCAAAACTCCTGGCTCAACGATCCTCCGCTCGATCTCCGAGTAGCTGGGGACTACAGGCATGTGCCACCATGCGCGCTGATTGTATATTATATACATTAGTGGCCAATTAATGTTCTTCTATTTCAGGAGAGACGGGTCTCGCCTCAGGCTGTTTTGAACTCCTGACCTTGAGCAATCCGCCCCGTCGCTCCCAGGAGTGCTAGGTTTACGCCGTGAGCCACGCGCCTGGCCTAGAAAGGAATGAATTTTAAAGCATAGTTTTACATCTAAAGCAACATTAGGACTTGGAAACAGTTATAAGAATAGCAGTTGTGTACATGAAATTATTTTCTTCAGGTATTTCAGAGACAAATGACAACTACAACCTGGGGAAGAATCACATAGCATATAAAACCTTTAGGATCTGTTTCCTGCTTCCCACTCCAGCTTCATCTTCTGCCACTACTACCAGGCATTCTGCGCTAGTCAGATGGTTGACCTGCATTTTCCGTGAATGGTTTATGCACTCTTAGGCCTCCTTGCTTATGCACCTGCTGCTTCCATTTCCTGAACATTCATTCATTGGCTAACTGCTGCTTACTCTAAGGCCTGGCTTGAGTGCCTCCTTTCCTGGGAAGCCTTCCTTAATTCTCCAAGTAAACAAATTTATCCATCTGTTGTAACCATTGTTACACTGTTATAATCACCTGTCTGCCCCCCGTCCCCCAGACAGTAAGGCTCCTAGAGCTTGCAATGCCACGTAAATGTGTTTTGCATGAACAAATGATCCTGACACCCTCTTGTTGTAACAAGGATCATTCATTATGCCACACCAAATTAGATAGCAAGAACATAGCTTTGGGTTGCTGTTTCAAGCTGTGATACTGTAATCATATATAAACTAGACAGGTAACCCTTCAAGAAGTTTTTAGAAACACAAGGCTGACCTCAGAACAGATGTTAGATCATCTGCTTGGACATGGGTGGGTGTATATATAGTAGAAAAAGAACTATTTTTTTTTTTTGGACAGAGTCTTGCTTTGTTGCCCAGCTAGCGAATGATGCTGTGGCGTCAGCCTAGCTCACAAAGCAACCTCAAACTCCTGGGCTCAGCAATCTTGCCTCAGCCTCCTGAGTAGCTGGGACTACAGGCATGTGCCACCATGCCCAGCTATTTTTTCTATATATATTAGTTGCCAATTTAATTCTTGTATTTTTAGTAGAACGGGTCTCGCTCAGGCTGTTTTGAACTCCTGACTTGAGCAATCCGCCGCCTGGCCTCCCAGAGGGCTAGGATTACAGGCGTTAGCCACCGTGCCCAGCCAAAAAGAGCTATTAAATGGGATTTTTTTTTTTTTTTTTTTTTTTTTTTGAGACAGAGTCTCACTTTGTTGCCAGGCTAGAGTGAGTGCCGTGGCGTCAGCTAGCTCACAGCAACCTCAGACTCCTGGGCTCAAGCGATCCTTCTGTCTCAGCCTCCCAAGTAGCTGGGACTACAGGCATGCGCCACCATGCCCGGCTAATTTTCTATATATATTAGTTGGCCATTAGTTTCTTTCTATTTATAGTAGAGACGGGGTCTCACTCTTTGCTCAGGCTGGTTTTGAACTCCCGACCTCGAGCAATCCGCCCGCCTCGCCTCCCAGGAGAGCTAGGATTACAGGCGTGAGCCACCCGCCTGGCCTAAAATGGGATTTTCATTGAAAATTTTTGGGCAGAGGATTGCTGTTATTTATTTGAACCAAGGATCAAGATTGATTAGGTATAATATTAAAATGTCTAAAGTAAGATGGATATACATTTTGGAAGTTGAAGGGCTAGGCAGTAAACAAAAGACATAATTAAGTCCATCTAAACTTTGTTTGAAAATTTTATCCTAGTGTTTGTTTTTGTTTTTTGTTTTTGTTTTTGAGACAGTACTCACTCTGTTGCCAGGCTAGAGTGCCATGGCGTCAGCTAGGCTCACAGCAACCTCAAAATCCTTGGCTCAAGCAGTCCTTCTGCCTCAGCCTCTCCAGTAGCTGGGATTATAGGCATGTGCCACCATGCCCAGCTAATTTTTTCTTATATATTTAGTTGACCAATTAATTTTTCTATTTTAGTAGAGGATGAGGTCTCTTGTTCAGGCTGTTTTGAACTCCAGACCTTGAGCTATCCACCCACCTCGCCTCCCAGTATCCTAGTGTTCTATAGTACTGTAGGATGACCATAATTAACATACTTTTGTGTATTTTCAAGTAGCTGGAAATGGATTTTGAATGTTTTAATGCAAAGAAATGTGTTTGGAAGTATGGATATGCTAATTACCCTGATTTTATCATTACACAATGTATACATGTCATTATCAGAATATCACACGTACCCATATACGGCAATTACGTATGTCAATTAAAATAAAAAAGTGCAGAAAGTTTTCGAGATTTAAAATTGTAAGACTGTCACAAGCAAATTTGAATACAGTGAAGCTTTCCTTTTCTCTGAACATTCTTTTTATGCCCTTTCTAAGTCAGAACTCAGAGGAAAGATAATGTGAGCTCTCTCTCTCTCCCTCTCTCCTCTCCCTCCCTCCCTCCCTCCATAAATATATAAAAATAAGCATACTCATAATTTACGATTTTGCATCCTTTGTCTTTTCTATACAAACCTTGCTTTATTCATCTTTCCAAGGTCTGTAAATGCTGTATTTTGGAGCAGACATTTCCCCAATTTTTATTTATTGTGAATTACTAATAGCAGATTTTTAAAGAAATAATCTATGTGCCACCCTTGATCCATATAAAACATTTTAAAAATCCTCAATTGTCCACATGTATTTATATTTTCGTGAACAGGTTTTTTTGTTTTTTTTTTCTGAGACAGAGTCTCGCTTAATGCCAGGCTAGAGTGAATGCCCTGCGCGTCAGCCTCGCTCACAGCAACCTCAAACTCCTGGGGTCAAGCAATCTCCTGTCTCAGCCTCCCAGTAGCTGGACACAGCTGCGCCACCATGCCCGGCTAATTTTTCGTATATATATCAGATGGCCATTAATTTCTTCTATTTAATAGTAGAGACGAGGGTCTCACTCTTGCTCAGGGTGTTTCGAACTCCTGACCTTGAGCAATCCGCTCACCTCT